CTTATCTGACTGCCTCTAGACTCGAATTTTCTAAAAAGTTTTAGGGAAAAATACAAGATTTTTTAAAAAAAAATCAGAAAAAATCATTTAAAAATGTAAATTTCCCCCCATTTTTGCCCAAAAAATTTTTTATTTTTTTTATTTATGGTTTTTATAGGCCAAAAAGGGGTTTTTTTCAGCGTTGTAAATAGGGGGGGGAAAAAAGGAAAAGAAACAGTAACTTTTAAACAGGGAAACCCAAAGGGGGTTTTGGGGCCCCACTCTTGTGGCCAATTAGGAGGGGAGGGGGTAGAGGCAGGAGGGGAAACGGTGTGGGGGATTTAAGTTTGGGAGGAAAGGGGGGGAAAGGGCAGCGGCTGTTAGGGGGGGGGGTTTAGGTTCCCCGAAGGGGGGGGGGGGTTTTTTTTGGGGTTTTAGGGAGGTGAAGGGTGGGAGGGGCCCGGGGACAGTTGGGGTTGGGGGGTTTTGTGAGTTTTCCCGGGGGATGGGGGGGACCCGGAGGAAAATTTGCCGTCGTGCGTGGGAGGAGGGCCCGGGGCAAGTTTGAAGGGAAAGGGTTCCCTTTTTGAAGAGCGAAGGGTAGGGTTAGGGTGGTAATGGGGATAGGAAACGGGTGAGGTTTGTTAGGGGGCCGTGTTGGAAATGGTCCTTTTTTGTCAGGGTGAGCAATTTGAATTTAAAGCGTTGGGCAATGGGGAGCCCAGTTTGGGGGGAGAGGCGAGGGGGGTTTGGGGAGAGGTGGAGGGCTGGTGAAAGGGGGATTTTGGGTTTGGGGCTTTGGGTTTAGGATGGTTTTGAAAGGGGGGAGAGGCCCGCCTGGGGGTAGGGCGGGGGAGGAGGGGGTTGCAGTTTGTCCCGGGGGTGGGGGATTTTTAAACAGGGAGTTTTCTTTGTAGTTTAGTGGGTTCCCGGGGTTAAAAGGGGGAAGTTTTCCTGGGATGTTTCCCGGGGGTGGGCTGAGTGTTTTTGGGGAGATTCGTATGAGGTTTAAAGGGAAAAGGGGTTTTTAGTCCAGAATGAGCCAAGGAAATTTTGGGTTGCTTTGGGGGGGGGGGTTTATTTGGGGGTGTTGTTGGGGAGTGATGGAAAAAGGGTGGGGGGGGGGGGCGGGTGGGGGGGGAAAATTTAGGGAAACTTGGTTTTTTGGGGAGGGGTTTAGTTTGGGGAAATTTTTGGGCATCAGGGCGGATGTCGTTTTTGGAGGTGAGTGATGCGGGGGGGAGAATGGGGGGGTTTAGGTGAGGGGGGGATAGGGAATTTGGTATCATTGCATAGAGGTGGTAATTGAAGGTGGGGGGTTTGAGTTTGCCAAAAGGGGGGAGGTTTTAGATGGAGAAGAGAAGGGGTCCCAAAGGAAAAAGCCCCGGGGGACCCCAAAGAGGGGGGGGAGAGGGGAAGGGGGGGTGGCACCCTTGTAGGGGCACTGAAGGAGCCCTTGGGATGATAAAGGGCGGGGAACCCGGGAGGGGAGCGGTGTCCCCTTTATGCCAAAGGGAGAGTAGTTTTTTTAAAGGGGAGGGGTGGGGGGTCGACTGGGGGTCAAAGGCCCCAGAGAGGTCTGGGGGAGGAGGACCCGGGGAGTGCCTTTGGCTTTGGCGGTTAGTAGATCATTGGGGATTTTGAGGAGGGAGGAGTTTCGTGGAGTGTTGGGGACGGAAAGCCCGGGGTAGTGGGTCAAGGAGGGTTTTTTTCATCTGGGGGGCGCTTTGGCGATGAAAAACCAAGGCTCAAGGAGTTTGGGAAGGGGGTTGGGAGGGGAAATTGGTCTGAGGTTGTTGAGGTCGTGGGGTCCAGAGAGGGGGTTTTTTTAGTTGGGGGGGTGATGTGGCAGTTTTGGGGGGAGGGGAATAGCCCGTGAGGGGGGGGAGATTAAAGTGTGGGTAAGGGAGGGTTTAGGGAAAAGGGGGGTGACCCGGGGGAGTTGGGGGGTTAGGGTCCCGGGGGGGAGGGAGGAGAGGGCTTTTGAGGGACTCTGTGATTTCCCCGTGGTAGTAGGGGGGGAGGGTGCAGTGATGGGGGGGGTTTACGGTAGCAGAGGCCTGGGTGTGGTGGTGGCAGTGCCGTTGCCGAGGTCAGAGAGGGGAGGAGAAGAGGGGTATAGAAGGGGAGGCTAGATAGGGGAGGTAGATTGCAAATTGAACTATGTCCTTGCGATTAGCGGCAATCTTTGCAGAGGGAGTGATGGCAATCTCGTGGGCGTAGTGAGGTACTGAGTGGAGAAAGGGGGAGAAGCAGGATTGAAGTGGAGAAGAGACCGAGGGCAGTTTGAGAGGGTGTTACATCAGGTTAACAAAGTAGGCCTGCTTGCGCGTGGAGGGAGAGTTTTAGTGAGTGGTGGTAGTGAAAGAAGAGGATGGAGAGTGAGAAAATGTGTGAGGACCTGGTTTATGCCCAAGTCGCTCCAGCGCACCAGGGTGCGTGAGTTGAATGGATTTAGGGTGGGGGGGTAAACGTGTGCAATTAGGTGGTTGGCGTGGGGTGGGGGTTTTAAAATGGGGGGGGGGGAGAGGGGTCCAGAAGAGGGGCTAGAGAGGGGGTAGGGAGAAGTTGTACGTGGAGGTCTTGGCTAGTCGGGACATGACATCGGTGGGGGTTGCTGAGGTGGGGAGGCGGTCGGCAGCCGAGTGGAGGGGGGGGCCGGGTGCAGGTTGCGGAGGTTGCGGCTGGTGATGGGTTTGGCGCACTGGGGGGGGGGGGGTCTGTTGGGGGAAGGGGAGGTGGGAGAACCGTGAGGAGGTGGTGGTCGGACTCCGGGGAGAGGGAAGGGTGTGTTAGGAGAACTGGTTGAGGGTACAGAGGGTGGGAAAAGACGAGGGTCCAGGGGTGATTTCCCATTGATGTGGGTGGAGGATTGGGTGTGGTGTGTGAGCGCGAAGGAGGAGGTTAGGTGGAGGAGTTGGGAGGGTAGCTGGGGTGTTGTCATTGATGGGGATGTTGAAGTCCCCGAGGATGATGGTTCGGTAGCTCAGAGGAGAGGAGAAGGGAAGCCAGCGCGGCGAAGTCATCACTCCAGGAATGTGGGCTCCAAATACCACCTTTTTTATGTAATGTAATTTGGGTATAAAAGCCTAAAGTATATTTATCACTTAATGCAAATTTGGTAATTAAATTTGGTGACAAACCACATATCAAAATGATGAGAAGATCCAGAGACAGTATCAGCTGAAATTATATGAAAAAAAAAAAAATTCTAGCTTTCTGTATCTTGGGTCTGTTCCTCCCATCTTCAGTCACTATGATCTCAGTGAGGCTAGCCATCACAATAAAGGACCAACAAGGAGGTGCCAGTGGTATAAAGCATGAAAAGTAGAGGCTTGTATTTACATTTCAGCTGACTGTTAAATCTGGATCATTATGACATGTGGGTTTCACTGAAGGTAAATTGCCATGAGTTGACAGATTGACTTTACAGTTTCCTAAAATATAATGATACATATGATAAGATTGCCATTATAAAGAATGAATAGTTTCCAGTATATAGCAAAATATGTTTTAGTATACAATAAAAAAAGGCAGGTGTCCAGAATGACTCATTGCAAGTGAATCAAATTCATTCCTGTATAGACTGCGCCACACAAATTCAGAACTGTAAAAAACCTTTAAAAATAATTTGGAGTAATTTATCATGGAAAGGATTATGGGTTGTAAACGAAATGTGTTTATTACACTCATCTCCATGGCATCCTTTTTGAGATATATTGTGGTACCATTCAGGGGCGTATCTGCCCCGAGGCAAACAAGGCATCTGCCTTGGGCAGCACTTTTCAGGGGGGAGGCACCACCCCCAGGCAGAAGGGACCAGTGCTGTCACTGCAAAGGGCTGTGCTTGGCCAGGGGGGCGTGCTCGGACGGGTTCGTGTGTGTGCTCAGCGGCGAGGAGACAGAGAACCTGTCAGCTATGGAGCCGGCTGGAGAGGGGGCCGGGTGGCACAGAGGACATTTCATTTCTCTCTATGCTCTATGTGCCGCCTGTCACCCCCCATATCCATCTCCTGCATACGGTCAGCTCCTGTATGCTCCCCCACGGCTGCCCCCCCCAGCACTGCAGGGGATCTGTCAGCATATGCAGTCCCAGTGCTGACAGTTCCCTTCCCCTCACACAGACGGGAGAGGAGAGAGAAAGCTGTCCCTGCTCCTCCCGCCCTGTCCTCCTGTGTCTGCCCTGCCCACACTTCCAGCCAGCCTTGTGTATTCTTTCCCCCTTCCCCCTCTCTCTCTCTCCTCTCCCTCTCTCCTCTCTCTTCCCTCTCTTCTCCCTCCTCTCTCATCTCTGTTCATTTTGGATCTGTTTATTCATCTACAGATCAAAAGGGATTAACTTTGATCTGCAGATGAAGTCAGTTAACCACTTGCTATCCTGAAGATTTACCCCCCTTCCTGACCAGGCCATTTTTTGCGTTATGGCGCTGCGTTACTTTAACTGATGATTGCGCGGTCATCCAATGCTACACCAAATGAAATTTACGTCATTTTTTCCCACGAATTGAGCTTTCTTTTGGTGGTATTTGATCATCTGTGCGGTTTTTATTTTTTGCGCTATAAACAAAAAAATCCTGACAGTTTGACTTTTTGCCATTAAACATGCCCAGTAAAAAAATCAATTTTGTCATAAATTTAGGCCAAAATGTATTCTGCTACATCTTTTCTAAAAAAAATCCCAATATATGTAAATTAATTGGTTTACGTGAAAGTTATAGCGTTTACAAATGGCGGTATAGATACTGGAATTTTTTTTTTTTTTTTTACTAGTAATGGCGGCAATCTGTGACTCATAGCGGGGCTGCGGTGGATATTCTGACTTGGTGTCACTGACATCCCCAGTGATACCAATATAGTGATCAGTGCTAAACCCCCCCCCCCCCCCCACCAAAAAAAAAAACAAAAAAACACACATAAGCACTTACACTGTACTAATGGCATTGGGCAGGATGGGGTTAACATGAGGGGCAATCAAAGGGTTAACTGTGTACAGGGAGTGTTTTACTAGGGGACCGTGTCAGTGTGCTTCACTGTAAGCACACTGCTTTGGATGGCTGTGCCTGAGCTGACAGGGAGGAGGACTGTTAGTAAACAAAACCATCCTCCTCCCCATCGGAGATGCTCAGTAATCACCGGCCGGGACCCAGTGATTGACAGCGAATGGCGGCACAAGTAGGGAACCTGCCCCCTACCCAGAAATGCAAATTCATGTATATATGCAAGCGATTTTGTGCACCCCTGCCACCCTGTAGCAGTATATCTGCTATAGGATGGTGGGGGAAAGCGGTTAAAGTAACCTAACAAGTAAGGAAAAAAAAAAAACTGCTTTTTTTTTTTCATTAAATGTTCCTCTGTTTAACCCCTTATTAACCCTTAGTTTACACTGATTAGCCCTAATTAACTCCTTATTCTCCTCCATTCAATTATTATTTTCCTGCTCATTTTTTTGTTTCTATTTTATTAACTAATACGATTTAAAACTTTTTTTTTTATTTTTTGTTTGTTTTGTTCCTTAATATTTTTACTCCTTTAACATACATTTGAAATTTTCACATTTAAAAAAAGCACAAAATTGAAAAAACCCCACTTTATTTCATTTGTGAATAACTTTGCAATGCTGTGTACCAGAATCATAATTTTATTTTTAAACCAACAATGCTGAAAAAAGAATAAGCGTGTCTTGTTATGTTTGTTTATGGATTGCGAAAAAAAAAAATTGTTGCAAGACAATATTCACAAAAAGAAAGCCTTATTCGTCTCTGAACACAATATATTGTTACATTTTTATCTTAAGTAATGACAAAGTTATTGCTGAAAACAGGCCCATAGCAGAAATGTAAAAATTGCTCTGGTCCATAAGGGGTGAACAGGTGTGAGAGCCGAAGTGGTTAAAGTGTTACTAAACCCAGGACCCTGCATCCACTATATCTGGTCTCCTATAGTACACAGAACATGGAACTACAAATAAAATAGTAAATATAAACTGCTAAATACTTTTTCTCAGAAGTTAGAGCAGTCTTGTGGCTTCTATCAGTGTTCAGCCCAGCACCAGCTAAAGCTGGTAGGAGGATTTTTCTTTCTGCTCTAGGAGGATGGCCCTGTATTGATCACATGCACTGTCCCAATAAAAAAAAAAAACCTCTCTAGCAATACACACCAAACTGAACATGTGCAAATGCCTTCAGTTCAGTCTGTCTTATCAGGAGATAAGAGGTGGTCGCTTGAAAAAGGGGAGGAACAGAGAAGAAAGGATCAAAACGGCTTTTTTACACAATGCAGAGGATTAACCGCTTAGGTTCCACAGTGACTATAACAAGCATTCTTTACTACATATACAGGTTGATTTTACTGTTGTGGGTTTAGTAACACTTTAATGGTTGTCAAACTGAGTTAATATGCAGATTTCAATAAAGAGCTTAGAGGAAAAGTGCACAGTTTGGATATAAATAATAACATGGGTAGGTTGGATCAGCTGAGATCTCAGCCTGTCAAGCCAACTAAGGCATTATGGGAGATCTCCTAGCCTTGGTTGCAAATAGTTGTGAATCAAACTCTAAAACCCATAAAATTAACTAATTCTATTTATGTCAGCCAATGATAAACTCCAAGGCTTGATAAGCATACTGTACGTCTTCCTATTATTTAAAAACTAAAGACAAGAACTAGTGATCAGAAAAAAAAAAAACGTAAAACAGAATAAGAGTACCTGTACAAAAAAGAGGGGAAATTAAACTATGAAAATCTGGTACAAATGGCTCCAAGAAGACCACTGGCACTAAACCATACCATGCTTGTGAGCCAGGGATGAATAAATGGGGCTGCTCTCATGGGCATTAACCAATTCAATAACAGGCAATTTTACACCTTCCTGCCCAGGCCAGTTTTCAGGTTTCAGCGCTCTCACACTTTGAATGACAATTGCGCGGTCATACAACATTGTACCCAAACTAAAATTTTATCATTTTCTTCACACAACTAGAGCTTTCTTTTGGTGGTATTTAATCACCGCTGAGGTTTTTATTTTTTGCTAAATTAACAAAAAAAAGACCAAAATTTTGAAAAAAAACCACAAGTTTTTCTTTGTTTCTGTTATAAAAGTTTGCACATAGATAATTGTTCTTCATAAATTTAGGCCGAGATGTATTCTGCTACATGTCTTTGGTGAAAATAACCCAAATTAGGATGTATTTTGTAGTTTGTAGGAAAGTTATAGAGTTCACAAACTATGGTATAGATCTGAATATTGATCAATCCTGAAGTACTGACGGCCAATCTAATTTCTTGAGGTCCAAGAATGTCAGAACAGTACAGATATCAGCCAAATGACCCCTTTTTGCAAAGTAGACAGTCCGATGTACTTCATAAGAGACATGGCAAGTTTTTTGAAGTTGTATTTTTTTGTCATTTTTCAGAAAATGAAAAAATTAAAAAAATTAGTTTCACTATTTTTTTTTTTACATATTGTCACCAGTGCAGTACAGCATCATCATATAACTGGCATGGCGGTGATCAGGGACACTGACTGGTGACAGTATGAAAAAAAAATATAATATATATATATATTTTTTTATATTATTATTTTTTTTTTTTTTTTTTTAAGATTTTTTTTTTCATATTTCACTATGACCAAAGTAGTACAATGTTACCATAGTAACATTGTACTACTTTGGGGAAGTGAGCAGTTTTTTTTTTTTTTTTTTGCTTATAGCAAAGAATTACTTTGCTATAAGCAAGCATTTACCTGAATGACATTGATTCATTCAGGGGTTTATTTGTGCTTAGCTGTGATTTGGTTACAGCTAATCACATGACATGTGCATGTGATTAGCTGTAACCATTCACAGCTAGACACTAGTATACAATGGATGGCATGAATGAAGCCATCCATTGTATACAACTGTCATGTGACCTACTGTGATTGGTCACAGCAGGTCACATGGTACCGGCAACAGGGGCTGATACTCAGATCTGTCATCGGCCGTGTCCGAGGTACACGGCCGGTGACAGATCGCGCCACTGCGCGGCTCTGCAGGAGCGCAATCTGCGCATGTGCAGGAGGATGCCATATGGCGTCCACCCAGAACGCTGATGACATTTGCCGGCTGCCATTCGGCCATAGGGCGGGTGGCAAATGGTTAAAGACTGTGATGCACTGAAGAGAAACAGGCGTTGCTCTATGAAGGGTAACAAGGCTCTCTTTTGTTTGGGAACCTGAGAAAGTGAAGCCACAGGGCACAATACTCTGTTCCTCAGTAATGGTTTTTATTAGTGTCAATGCTCTTAAACTACAGTCGTATCATTCCAATTCAGATTTCTTTTTTATTTTATTGGATTGGGTCAATCACAGGCTAGAGAGCAATAATAATGTATCAGGGCTGTGTCTGACGAGATTATCAAACAACCTACGGGCACAAAGCTGTACTCAGTAAATTTCACACACAGACCTCTATGACACAGTGGAACCATCTTTCGGTAAAAGAATACACTAAATAACCTGGATGGAAGTCACACTGACCTGATGCAGATCATTTCCAAGTACATACTCCTGGAAGTACCCAGGTGCTGCTGAAGATGCTCGAATAGCTTGCCACAGGTTATACTGACACCCTCCTAAGTAATGCGATTTAATGCCCGGAAAATGGTTATAATTTCTGAACACAAATGCTTTTGGAGGTATTCCCGTATTAACGATGGTGCTCACAGCAGCAACCTAGAACAACAAAAAAAAAAAGAACACAACATAAAATGTAATATAACAAAACTCTACAGAAGCCATAGGTCTCCTGCATGGAACAAATTTATTAACATTTTTGCTCTGCTCTTAAAGGCAGGCTTACTAAAATGTCACAAATTAACAGCTTAATTAACTAAATTGGCAAAGATGCTGGAGGAAAATTTTGGCTCGGAGCTGATAATTCAACGATGGTTCAAAGTTTGACTGAAAATCCCCAAGGAAATAATGTAGGAAGAGATATTTCTAAAATGGACTTTACTACTGTCAGTGCACTTTATAATAGGCACTATTAGATAGATCTGTTCAATGTTTGCACTAATATTTGAGTGATTTAAGTGCAGTGTCCAGCAATCTGGTGATCATAGGCCGGTGGAAGCAAAAACTGGGCATGTGACAGCCAGGTGTTTAATACGATTCACTAAAAAAAAAAAAATACTTCGGCTCGGTTAACAATGCCTAGAAGTAAAGCCGGTGGACAACAGATGGAAAATCAGATGCTTTTTTTTAGCATGTGTCCTTAAAAAAGGTCAAACTCTGTATCACTGTACAGAAATCTGAAAATGCACAGTTAGTTAAAGTGCATCTAAACCCAAAAGCATAAATAAAATATATTGCCGCTTACCAGTCCCTATATGTGGTGGCTGTGTTAGTTTTCTTTTTCCCTTTATTTTCCTCTGCTAATCCTGCAAATAACATACTTTCTCTCCCTTCATGTCTACACTTTTTTTCTGCATTGTATCTATAGGGCAGCCATGGTTGTCACACAGGCCTAAGTTGAAACATGTCTTCCTTTGTCCATCATCATTACATGGTGGATTGATGGGACTAGTAGTTTACACAATAAAGACAAGGTTCACTGAGCTTTTGTAAAAGCTGACAAAAACTACAAAGAAAAAGCTTTGGATGCCTCTATAGAATTCAATCAAAATACAAATAAGCAAAAAAGGCAAAAAAAAAGTCTGGAAAAAAAAAAAAACAAAGAACTTAAACTTTTTTTAGTTTTGGATAAAATGTGGAAGATTTTAAGGTTTTTTTTTATTGCTGTTTGCTTTCTTGCTGAAAAGATTCACTCTCTACTTGTCTTAAAGCAGTAGTAAACTTGTACCTACAGGTAAGCTTATAATAAAGCTTACCTGTACTGTAAATAAAAGGAATATCTCCTAAATGTGCGCCGTTTAGGAGATATTCACCATTTCTGCAGTCTGTGACATCACTGGTGCATGCGCCCTGCACTCTGAACGGATGACATACTGATACATGGCCGTGGCTCCTGTGTGCATGTGCGGGAGTGAAGTCATCGCGGCTCAGCCAAACGGAACCCAGAAGGAAGACTGGGTAAAGATGGAAGCCCTGTCAGCCTGCCACTGGAGAGCTTCATTTTAAGGCAAGTCTTTCACACTACCTTAATGCGATGCATACTAGCACATTATGACATTTAGTTGCAGGGACTTTACTACCATTTTAAAGTGTTACTAAACCTACAACAGTAAAATTAGTCTGTATATGCAGTAAAGCAAACTTGTTATACTCACTGTGTAACCTAAGGGGTTAATCCTCTGCATTGTGTAAAATGGATGTTTGATCCTGTCTTCTCTGATCCTACCCTTCTACTGTCCCCAATCCATTTCCTGATAGAACAGAGCCTTGGGGGCACGTTACACATGCTCAGTTTGGTGTGTATTGCTAGAGAGTTTTTTTTTTCTTGGGAGAGTGGATGTGATCAGCGGAGGGCCAATCAGCACTGTCCAGACAGAGGGTCAGGGGTATGCAGCCTCACAGGACAATCAGAGGAGAATCAAAACTTCTCCTACAAGCTTTAACCAGTGCTCTGCTGGACACTGATAGAAGTCACAAGACTGCTCTAACTGCTGATGAGAAAAGGTATTTAGCAGTTTATATTTACTGAAATAAATGCACTTTCATGTTCTGTGTACTGTGGGAGACCAGATATAGTGAATGCAGGGTCCTGGGTTTAGTAACACTTTACTGACTAGTGATGAGCTTAACATGATGATATATAATACCCAAGCTCAGTTGCTCACACGACTTGTGGCTGGAAACTGATGGTGTTCAGGCTGAATTGTCCCCACACTTTGCCCAAGTAATCCAAAATACAATAAAGCCAGCACGGTGTAATCCGTAAAAGGAAGCTGCTTTATTGGTTACATGTACTGATAAGAGTGTTTTTCATGTAGCAAATAAAGAATCTTCATTTTACAGAATACACACAGTGCAAACTGTACTATACTTTGGATTCCTTAAACAGTGATGAGCTAAGATTTAAGGCAAGCCGATGGGTAACTGTCACACGATAGCAAGCTGCTGGCCCAGTAAGCTGTGGCCAGGGTATTCCCCATCCCACAATCTCACATTACGAAGGGGAAGGTTTGCTGGTGATATTAGTGACTTAATATGGCCACATGACCATACTTGGTTAATGTTATTGACCAAATATTACCATGTGGCTATATTACCCCAATGATGTCACCACAACTCCCACCCCTTCGTTAAGTGCAAGTGTGGGGCAGAGAATTCTACATCTGCAGCAGCCTGCTATCATGTGACAGTTACCCATCGGTTTGCCCTAAACCTTAGCTCACCATCACTGAAGGGGATTTATCAATGGAACAGAAAAAGAAGGAACATCCAAATTTGTAAGGAGGTTGATGGTTACTCATGCTCTGGTGAGAGCTGTCTAAGAGGGGGATTACCTCTTACTTTGGGTTTTTTTTTCATTATTGTTTTTGTTGTAGCTTTGAGAGAAGAAGTAAAGTTGACCCTCTCCAATGCGATGCAGAACATGTCCTAATTAAGGACAATGTTTTGGCTATAGATATACTTTAAGACATACACTATATTGCTAAAAGTATTGGGACACTCTTGCAAATCATTGGATTCAGGTGTTCCAACTGCCACAGGTGTATAAAATCAAGCACCTAGGCATGCAGACTGCTTCTACAAACATTTGTGAAAGAATGGGTTGCTTTCAGGAGCTCAGTGAATTCAAGCGTAGTACCATGATAGGTTACCACCTGTGCAATAAGTCCATCCGTGAAATTTACCTGCTACTAAATATTCTACGGTCAACTGTTAGTGGTATTATAACAAAATGGAAGCAACTGGGAACAACAGCAACTCAGCCACCAAGTGGTAGGCCACGTAAAATGACAGAGCGGGGTCAGCGCATGCTGAAGCGAATAGTGCGCAGAAGTCGCCAACTGTCTGCAGAGTCAATAGCTAAAGACTTACAAACTTTGTGTGATCTTCAGATTAGCACAACAACAGTGCATAGAGAGCTTCATGGAAGGGGTTTCCATGGCCAAGCAGCTGCATCCAGGCCTTACATCACCAAGCGCAATGCAAAGCGTCGGATGCAGTGGTGTAAAGCACACCGCCATTGGACTCTAGAGCAGTGGAGGCAAGTTCTCTGGAGTGACGAATCACGCTTCTCTGTCTAGCAATCTGATGGACGTATCTGGGTTTGGCAGTTGCCAGGAGAACGGTACTTTCCTGACTGCATTGTGCCAAGTGTAAATTTTGGTGGAGGGGGGATTATGGTGTGGGATTATTTTTCAGGGGTTGGGCTTGGTCTCTTAAGGCGTCAGCATACCAAGACATTTTGGACAATTTCATGCTCCCAACTTTGTGGGAACAGTTTGGGTATGGCCCCTACCTGTTCCAAAATGACTGCACACCAGTGCACAAAGCAAGGTCCATAAAGACATGGATGAGCAAGTTTGGGGTAGAGGAACTTGACTGGCCTGCACAGAGTCCTGACCTCAACCCCAGGCCTTCTCGACATCAGTGCCTTACTTCACAAATGTGCTTCTGGAAGAATGGTCAAATATTCCCATAGATGCACTCCTAAACTTTGTGGACAGCCTTCCCAAAAGTGTTAAAGCGGTTATAGCTGCAAAGGTTGGGCCAACTCAATACTGAACTCTACGGACTAAGACTTTGATGGCATTGAAGTTCATGTACGTGTAAAGGAAGGCGTCCCAATACTTTTGGCAATATAGAGTTTCATACTTTAAAGGTACTGGCAAAGGTATAGAATGTTTGCTTCCATGTACAGATTGTAATGATGAGTCTGCATGGAGACAGCCATAATTGCTCCTGTTATATGCAAGCTCTGCTACCTGGTCATGTCTTGCTTTACCTGCTGTCCCATTGCATGTCTAGCAGACAAGGTCTGGCAGACTGAAAAACAACAGGCCTTCAGCAGTCTCAAATGACAAAATGACATGGAACATCCACAATGCTTCTGGCAACCACCGACCATGTGATCTTTTATCCTAAGCTTTAGATCATATAAAGAAACGAAGGAGAAGCATTTCTTATTCATGGCAATTTTCCACTAAAAATAATAATGTGATTTAAAAATTATGACGTGCCTTTTTGATTCCTTTTAAGCGTGAAATGTAATTATAGGTGCACTTCAAGTAAATGACAGGTTGCTCACACTGCTGACCATTTACACTAACTGTATACAAAGACTCGGAAACAGGAATTCACATAATAATCCAGCATTTCCTGTTGGAAAGCTTCACTTAACTTGGGATCTTTTGGAAACAGTAGCAAGACTCATCAAGAACTTTTTTTCCAGTGGCAAACACAGCGTGCCTGACATTCAGAAAAACAGTATGTCTGGTGCCTCCGTCAATCGAATTACTATTTTGCAATGCAACATTTTATAAAGTGGCCTTTGTATTTTACAGAATCCTAGCAGCATTACATCAGCACTTGATAAAGCAGAACATAGCAGTGAATAAACTCCCCAGCCCACAGTTGTATTATGCTAACTGAATAATTGATCTACTTAATGGTAAGTGATGCTTTTCAAAGCTGGAAAACAACCTTCTGTCACAAAAAGCCTTTTCTGAACAAACTTAGCAGAAATATTCAGTTTTTAAATTCTTGATGCTAAACTCTGGTATCCTCTGACAAGAAATGTAACATTAGTTATATTTACCAGT